TACCCTTGTACTCTTTCAATGTCCATGTATGTATATATGTTGATTAATGCTTATATGTAACTATTCTGTTTATGTAATCTTCATTTTGGAGGAAATAAAGAGAATAAATAAATAAACCATACAGACGTGATAATCTGGATGAGTTCCGGTTAGTCACACAATGTCGTATTCATCTGTCCTGTTCTCTAACGCCTTTTGAGACCAATATTAGGGATATGCAAGCGAACTCCGGGATGGCTGCAACGATCGCAATTATTCGGAAAAGTTGGAAAAGTAGTAAGCAGTCTTTCTTCATTTGCAAACAAACAATCTTTTTGCAACTGAACTGGAGGGAAAAGTCGAAGATTGAAGAAAATAGGAAATATTGATTATTTTTAAAATGAATAATAGATGTGCTGGGAATGAATTTTTAGACGAATATTAATATGCTATTTTCGATGTCTGTGCCCTACACTTGCATGGGACTTGGTCTCTAGGTCATAACATGGAAATGGTCGAGGTCCTCACCATATAACACGACACATGCATAATTAAATTACTGAGCGTCCAGATTTAGATAAACATCTGCTATTGGTTTCAGGATGATGCGTTCCCACCCCTGAGAAGTTATTTACAACAGAATTTGATTTGTTTTATGGATTGCGTACATATTGTTAATTATGTGTCAAGCAATCCTAATAATTATGTTTACATCTTCTCATTTAGGAGGGGGACAAATCATAGTCATACCGTACTTATATCAACGACAAATAGTATTGCTGGGAGATTTATCGGTAGCACGATAACATGTAACAAGAATGAGTCCCCGATTGATGTATATATATATATACGCCGTGAAGATGTATATATATATACGCCGTGAAGATGTATATATATATACGCCGTGAAGATGTATATATATATACGCCGTGAAGATGTATCGTTCATCGCGCATAGCAAGGATAATTATTGACCCATAACCAAGTGGTGATTTTTTTATAATGACGGTATAATCCGCACTGTACCGTGGAATACCTACTTGTACAAAAAGTGATCAGTCAGCAGATGAACTACGTATATATAGGTATCAATATTTCGAAGAAGCTTAGTGTTGGCAAATGTGTTAACAGTTTGTGTACCTGTGTACATTGATCGTCTACTGCGGTGGTGTACTACACCTGTTGGATAGTTCGCAATATGTACGGGGAGATGTGGACTATCGGGGACCCCGACCTACTTCTGACTGGTACATTCACATACCCAAAACGGAATTATAGAGTTCGTGTGTCACTCTCACCACGGAGGCTCTCCTATAAAAACATCAACGACGAAGTTAGTGGGAAAAGTACGATCAAAAGTATCGACATTTCCGATATTACAGGTTGTCGATGTCACAAATCCAAGACATCAGACGATCCTTTTACATATTTTACTGTATATAGCTATCCCACCCGCCATAAAACGTGCAGACCCTCCAAACGGTGTCGTGTCCACAAGGAGGTAACGTTTTGTTGTAACGCGTCAACCTCTATCGAGGGAAACTTCCAAACGTGTGTTAAATGGAGAAACGTCATCTGTAGATTGGCGAGAGGCCAGTATTTGGCCATTGAAGGTATTTATATACGTGTTTGTGATTTAAATAACAGTCATATTAAAAGCCAATAGTGGCATGTATACCATTTTGTGTTAGGTATCGGAAGGGTGGGTTTCTCTATGGTCATGCTCTAGTTCCCCACCACTACAAATACAGGTAAACACTCGGTCGCTATTGATCCACGTTTAACACAGGTACACACAAACGTTAGAAATACGTTGGACGGAACCATGACAACACGTACAACAAAAACCACCATATGATTAAAGCGGAACGTCCGGTATTTCTAAATAGTACGTACATCCCACCTCGTACACACACACATATCCATTTACTATTGAAATTCCCCTCCATGCAAATACAGATCGAACCGTAACAATAGTATACAGTATATTCATAAAAAGGGCAAGAAAGGTATAGTTGACCAAAACTAAAACCTTTCAATCATTTGGTTGAAAACACTTGCGGGCAATTTCAAATTCACCGAAACGAATTTACCGTCTGGTTTCTATTCATTTGTAAAATATTGGGAAACCGGGTTTAAATAAGCCTGTATTTTGTTCAGTGACGGGACGCATTATATAGGGTAAGTTCGTCCGTCAGTCAACGTTGGCCTGTCCGTAAATGTATGGGATATAGACACGTAAGTCTGTTGGGTCATATATCTTAGGTGTGATGTCCAGTCTTCTCTTATCTAAATCTGCCGGGCTAGGTGTAATAATATACCCATATCTACAGATTATACATTTTTCAAAACAGTTTACCCCCTTTACAAAATACAGAGAAACGTATTTGTGTAAGATAATATACAATGCAGTTGTTCATTAAATAAATCATACGATGACAATCTGGAATTATTAAATGTTATGTTAATGTCAATCATATCATGTGGACAAAAACTATTGACCATTATTATAATTAGTGCACATATTTGTTTTACAAATAAACAAGACTACGTAACGTCAGAATACTTAGGTGTCGCTAAGCGATGCTTTATTACGATAGCATGCTGATCAAGATACGCATTTCTGCTGAACTTCATGATGTTTGAGCAAAAAATACTACAAAATAGAATACAAAACAAGAACCTTAGGTCTTTTCACCAGTTGGTGACGCCATAATTATATATAATTTCATCCCCAATTGTATGGCTGTTGCACATTATCAGCAAATTCTATCGCGACATTTGACATTTTTATTTCATCTTCCGGGTCAATATTGATTCATGATTGGTTGTTCGAAATTTGCACAAAGCATGTTTTTGTCACTCAACATGTCCAAAGTATCCTCAATATGACATTTTTTCTTTACTTTTAAAACTCAGTAGCATCCAGATTTTGATAAAATGAATATGTTATTCGGCCAATTCTGATCGAACTGAAAACGAGAACTATGTAATATAAAGTTTTTAAAACTTCAGTGTATTTAATTGCGAATATAAATCAAACGTCACTCATAAAATGTTTATTGGGTGTAAACTACAGCATTATTACTGCCATATGTCTATAATGATATTGCAAAATATCACAAGTTCAAGGTCAAAAATCTTTTAAACTAATGTACATTTGAATTCTCCGCCTCTCCATAAGGTGTTCAACCAAATTTAGTGAGAGTTTTCACGTGTATTTCTTATTCCAATCTTTGGAGACCAGCTGAACCCAGGCGATAACTCCCAGTCACCAGCGGAAGGGCCACGTCTTCAACAAAATTTAGTGAGAGTTTTCACATGTATTTTTGATTCCAATCTTTGGAGACCAGTTGAACCCAGGTTATAACTCCCTGTCGCCACCGGAAGGGCCACGTCTTCATCCAAATTTAGTGAGAGTTTTCCCGTGTATTTCTGATTCCAAACTTTGGAGACCAGTTGAACCCAGGCTATAACTCCCTGTCACCACCGGAACGGCCACGTCTTCAACCAAATTTAGGGAGAGTTTTCACGTGTATTTCTGATTTCAATCTTTGGAGACCAGTTGAACACAGGTTATAAATCCCTGTCACCACCGGAAGGGCCACGTCTTCATCCAAATTTAGTGAGAGTTTTCCCGTGTATTTCTGATTCCAAACTTTGGAGACCAGTTGAACCCAGGTTATACCTCCCTGTCACCACCGGAAGGGCCACGTCGTCAACCAAATTTAGTGAGAGTTTTCACATGTATTTTTGATTCCAATCTTTGGAGACCAGTGAGAGTTTTCACGTGTATTTCTGATCCCAATCTTTGGAGACAAGTTGAACCCAGGCGATAACTCCCAGTCACCAGCGGAAGGGCCACGTCTTCAACAAAATTTAGTGAGAGTTTTCACATGTATTTTTGATTCCAATCTTTGGAGACTAGTTGAACCCAGGTTATAACTCCCTGTCGCCACCGGAAGGGCCACGTCTTCAACCAAATTTAGGGAGAGTTTTCACGTGTATTTCTGATCCCAATCTTTGGAGACCAGTTGAACCCGGGTTATAACTCCCTGTTACCCCCGGAAGGGCCACGTCTTCAACCGAATTTAGTGAGAGTTTTCACGTGTGTTTCTGATTCCAATCTTTGGAGTCTAGTTGAACCCAGGTTATAACTTCCTGTCACCACCGGAAGGGCCACGTCGTCAACCAAATTTAGTGAGAGTTTTCCCGTGTATTTCTGATTCCAAACTTTGGAGACCAGTTGAACCCAGGCTATAACTCCCTGTCACCACCGGAACGGCCACGTCTTCAACCAAATTTAGGGAGAGTTTTCACGTGTATTTCTTATTCCAATCTTTGGAGACCAGTTGAACCCAGGCTATAACTCCCTGTCACCACCGGAACGGCCACGTCTTCAACCAAATTTAGGGAGAGTTTTCACGTGTATTTCTGTTTCCAATCTTTGGAGACCAGTGAGAGTTTTCACGTGTATATCTGATTCCAATCTTTGGAGACCAGTGAGAGTTTTCACGTGTATGTCTGATTCCAATCTTTGGAGACCAGTAGAACCTAGGTTATAACTCCCTGTCACCACCGAAAGGGCCACGTCTTCAACCAAATTTAGGGAGAGTTTTCACGTGTATTTCTTATTCCAATCTTTGGAGACCAGTGAGAGTTTTCACGTGTATTTCTGTTTCCAATCTTTGGAGACCAGTCGCTCCCAGGCGATAACTCCCTGTCACCACCGGAACGGCCACGTCTTCAACCAAATTTAGGGAGAGTTTTCACGTGTATTTCTGATCCCAATCTTTGGAGACCAGTTGAGCCCAGGTTATAACTCCCTGTCCCCACCGGAAGGGCCACGTCTTCATCCAAATTTAGTGAGAGTTTTCACGTGCATTTCTGATTCCAATCTTTGGAGCCCAGTTGAACACAGGTTATAAATCCCTGTCACCACCGGAAGGGCCACGTCGTCAACCAAATTTAGTGAGAGTCTTCACGTGTATTTCTGATTCCAAACTTTGGAGACCAGTTGAACCCAGGCTATAACTCCCTGTCACCACCGAAAGGGCCACGTCTTCAACCAAATTTAGGGAGAGTTTTCACGTGTATTTCTGATTTCAATCTTTGGAGACCAGTTGAACCCAGGCGATAACTCCCTGTCAGGCCAGGTCTTCAACCAAATTTAGTGAGAGTTTTCACATGTATTTCTGATTCCAATCTTTGGAGACCAGTTGAACCCGGGTTATAACTCCCTGTTACCACCGGAAGGGCCACGTCTTCAACCAAATTTAGTGAGAGTTTTCACAAAAGGGCCACGGACATCACCTGTGGCCTAGTGTTCTTCGCCAGGGAATCGAAACAGCGACCCCCAGCGCCACAGATTGAGCTATTAAACGGAAGAAACCTCTTGCGAGGCAAGAATGAGACAATAATCCTATTTAGAAGTCATATCATTGTTATTTCCTACTTAAAATCCGTAAAATAAGTTTTTAAAGTAGTGGCCTTAGAAATTTTAACTTCATCGCTATAATCTCGGACTAATTTAGATATTTTTTATCACTCCTTGGCAAGTTTTGAAAAATCGTGAACTGTTCATTCAAGATAATAAGTTTACCTCTTGTCTTAAAACAAGGTCATGTTAGCTCAGCAGAGCTATTCTTACAACTATAACAACAATGATATATTAGCACAAAAAATATGTATCCCAGTGTTACCATGCATCACATAGCATTTCAGCATTAAATCTCATGCCAACAAGAAGCGCATGCAGCATATGTACACAAAGAATATACAAATGCAAATATGGCTAATATAGCATTATCTGAAGCAGCAAGAAGAGCATATATAAGTAATATAGCATTATCTGAAGCAGCAAGAAGAGCATATATAAGGAGGAACTAGTGATAAAAAATGGTGTACACAGCTCAATTAAATACATACAAATAATGTATAAGCACACACAGAATGTAAGTGATTACATGCAGACACTTAAGACTTAGCTGATGACGTAGTGTAAAAACAACCACTAATCGGGCCATATCAGGTGCATTTGTATGCGTCAGACTTCTGACGACAGAAAACGCCTCAGACTGTCTTATTTCATCCCGTAAGCTATTCCACAACAGGGCGACCACGAAACGGTAGGTTCCGTGCATCCTCGGACTGATTCCAGGGGTTACGCTGTCTTATGGTCTAGACTACGTACGTCAGAGTGCGACAGTCTACGTAACCTATGGAATTTCGCCGATGACCTCGAAGATAGATAGCAAAGAGATTTTATTTCCACCCTATTTTATGGAGATGTCACAGTCAAACTCCCACGGCCACTCCCACAGGGCTGGCTGGTATTTTTTGAACCTCTCTGCCCTGTTTTGAATCTTCTCTAATTTCCGGATAAATTCAGGTTCGAGACGTTCAAATTTTAAACCATTGAAAAAATATAATCTTGCTCTTCTTGTTTATAGCCAAAATTCTGATGCTTTTATGCAATATAAGAAACATATGTACTTACAAGTTTGAATTAGACCTATAAACGCCCAGCATTTTAACAGAATAGTCACATTTGATTTTATAATAACTCATTTAGAATAAAGAACTATATTTATATGATATCTTGCCTACAAGA